AGGAATCTTAATTTTTTTTTTTAAATGTCCCTAAATTAGATCCAACCAAATTGCCCCCCACCATCCACAGTGGATGAGTAAAACACTTTTTTTTTTTTGCCTTGTTGCAAGCGGTACCAATAAAATATGTGTTCCCTGACCGGGAATCGAACCCGGGCCGCGGCGGTGAGAGCGCCGAATCCTAACCACTAGACCACCAGGGATGTTTCTGTCGCCATCTGCAGGTTTATTTTAGAACAAGAATAGAAGCTGACTGATTAAAAATAACTCCAATAGTCCTCGATCGGTTACTCATGCAAAGATTTGCTGACCTTTGTTTCATGAAAATCCGGAACAGGACTAACCTTATTACAGTGTTGGAATGTGATGACGTCGGCATTAAAAAGAGAACATATTTACAAGTGTATATATAATAGTCGATTAAAAAACGTCTTCTTTTCCCCCAGATACCTCATCAACTTCCTGTTAGACGCCTCTCTAGGCATGTTGCTGATCTATGCCGGGGTGAGAGCTGTCAGTGTTGTTGTCGAGTGGAGGCAGTGGGACTCCCTGCGGTTCGGAGAATACGGTGAGTACAATTTTGTTTCGGTAAAAGCATGGGCTCCTGACATTCTTCTCATGGCCAACAGAGGGCAGTAGCTGTCTGCAGTGCTTAAATACTACAGCGGCTTTGCACTCGCTGCCTCGGTCATTTTCATTACACAGCGTCTATTCATTACTCAGAATGTACAAAACAAACGTAAATGTAAAAGCATGTTATAGACAACCAAATGTAGAAACTGATGATTTTCCCCCTTTCCCTTCTCTGTAGGTGAGCCTGTGCAGTGCACGGCGTGGCTGGGCCAGTGCATCCTCTACATCCTCATCATGATGTTTGAGAAGGTCCTCATCATGCTGGTGCTTCTCATTCCTCAGTGGAAACAGGTCAGAATAAAGACCCTCATTTATCTATTTAAATGTGTGGTAGCTAAGTTATTTTTTTTTTTTTTTAGCGATTTAAAGGGTGTCAAATATTGATAAACATTTTAAATGTAATTGTTGCTATAAATTCAAACTATTTTTACATATATGAAAAGAACAAACAGTAGCAATTGCTTGCTTGATGATAAGAGATTCATTTGTTGTTATTATACGTTATATATATATGTTAAAAAAAAACCCGTTCAACATGTTGCAGGCTGTTTTGAAAAAGATCCCCCAAAATTCGACTATGAATATATATTTGTTCCTTGCTAAGGTTAACCTCTCAGTGGACAAACACCAGGTTTTTTTTGTTGATCTATTGCACAAAGTTTTATTTGCCTGAAAGGTGGGTGCAAATTTAGGACCAAATTCCAATTGGCAAAGAACTTTATTTTAAAAATTTGTTAAAATGAAAAATATTGAACGAATTATATGTAGAAAAAAACCCAAAGAATTATATAAATTATATTTCAACTAAACTAAAGACTTTCCTATTTGTTTGTATGTGTGTGTGTTTTGCAGTTGGCGCTCCTCAACCCGATAGATAATCCTGACTTGGAACTGGCCATCGTCATGCTTATTGTTCCGTTCTTTGTTAATGTAAGTTTTACTTTTAATGTAAGAAATTAGTAAAGGCGTTCTGTAAAAAAATTGAAAAAGTCAAGCCTATGTTTTTTTTATCATGCCATTTGAATCCAGACATTCACAGATATCACCTGCAACTAGGGCTAGTCGCTAACAGAACCTTTCCACTGATAGTTTCTCATCTGTTTTTCTTCAAGTAACCTTAAAAAAAAAATCACATTTAAGCTCTACATTCTGAACAAGATTAATATCCTCAGATAAATCTAAAGAAAAAGTGTGCTTAACCTTTATTGCAATTTTGAAAAATCTCTTCAATGTAAATCATTTTACACATACAGTATGTGTTGCTTTATCTCTTTACATTTAAAAAAATGTATCTCTGTGTTTAACACCATGTTGTATGTCATCCATCTAGGCCCTCATGTTCTGGGTTGTAGATAATTTCCTAATGAAGAAACACAGGACAAAAGCAAAGATAGAGGAAAGAGAGGAGGACTCACGGGGAAACAGTAAAGTTCGTTATAGACGAGCTCTGTCCCATGATGACTCCGAGTCTGAGGTAAGTCTCCCTGTTACGGTTTACATTGAAAAGGCAGTGAAAAAATGGTCACTGTCTTCATCAAACATTAACTTTTTATTGGTGAAGTGAATGTACATTTGCACAAAAAGTGTATTCTCCATATAGTTGATACAGTAACTCAAACTCCCAGTAATTCGAACATTCTCCTAGAATGAATTACTGTTTTCACTTAAAGTGGAAACGGTGACACTGCGTGAGTCATACGTAGAAACTATTTACATTTGAGGTGATAAAGTACTCATACCTAGAATTTTGTAAGAGAGTATTTCTAGGAGTCAAGGTTAAAAATGATGTTGAAAGTCGAGGGCAGAGGTTTTGGTTTGGCCTGGATTTCATCATTTCATCACTTTTTCTGTTTTAAAGGTCATTTTGTGCAGTTGGGGTTATAATTTAAATGCCATTTCTGTTAGTAGTTCTTTGACTTATTTTGTATGATTTAAATGTCCAAGGTTAAAAATACTGTTAAAAAAACTACCTGACTAATAGTAAATAATGTCAAAGTGTAGAAGTGTCATTCCTCCTGTTAGGACAATATGAACACATGCTAAGCATTGCATTTGTTCTCCAGCTTCACTATTAGTCATTTTCAGATAAATTTGGTGAATTGGAAATCCCTCAGCGACTTTGGCACAAACAGATGAAAGTGTTGTTAAACCATTGACAAAGCAGCATAACGGTGTCACGCCTTAATAAAACAGGGTCAAAGTCCTGACTTATACAGTCCTTACAATACACTAAAGTGTCACTGAGTCACTGCTGGGTACACCTTGAACATTCCTACTCTCAAAGAGACATTTTTATACATTCAAAAATCTGGAGACGAAATGGCGCACAAAGACAACCAGCTCGACCAAGAAAGATTCTTCTGTTCAATCTGCCTGGATTTACTAAAGGTTCCAGTGGCCCTTCTTTGCGGACACAGCTATTGCATGGACTGCATTAAAAGCCACTGGGATACAGAGGACGGGAAGAAAATCTATAGCTGCCCTCAGTGTAGGGAGACCTTTTATCAACGGCCTCTCCTGAGGAAAAACACCATGTTAGCAGATTTAGTGGAGGAGCTGAAAAAGACAAAGCTTGAAGCCTCAGGTGCTGATCACTGCTACGCTGGACCTGAAGATGTGGCCTGTGATGTCTGCACTGGAAGGAAACAGGAAACCTCTTACTGTGGGAAACATCTTCAGCCTCATTTGAATTCACCTTCATCCAAAAAGGACAAGATGGTGGACCCCTCCAAACATCTCCAGGAGAACATCTGCCCCAATCATGGAGAAAAGATGATGGTGTTCTGCCGCACTGATCAGCAGTGTATCTGTCATATCTGTATTTTGGATCAACATAAAGGCCATGCAACAGTCTCAGCTGCAACAGAGAGGACCCAGAAGCAGCAAAAGCTTGAGTTGAGTCAACATCATATCCAGTGCAGAATCTTGGATAAGGAGAACAATGCTACTTTGCTTGATCGGGAGGTAAAAGCTGTTGATGACGCTGCTAACAGAGCAGTAAAGGACAGTGAAAAGATTTTCACTGAGCTTGTTTCTGCCCTGAAGAAGGGGTGTTGTGATGTGGCGCAACAGATCGAATCTCAGCAGAAAAGTGAGGTGAGTCGAGTCAGGGAGCTACAGGAGCAGCTGCAAAAGGAAATTGATGAGCTTAAGAGAAAAGATGACCAACTGAAGCAGCTCTCACACACACAGAGTGACAACCAGTTTCTACTCGCCTGCCAATCACTGTCAATCGATTGCAGTCAATCTACGAACTCACCCACCTTCAAGGCCGGGCCTCTGAGCTACTTTGATGACGTGACATCGGCTGTGTCCCAGGTCAGATGGAAAGTTCTCAACGTTCTTTCCGAGGCAGATGCAGACATCTCAACAGCACTGGCACAAGTGGATGTTTTGCTGCCACAACCAGAGCCGAACAACAGAGCTGACTTCCTAAAGTATTCAACCAAAATCACAATGGATCCCAACACAGCACACTCAAACTTGTTATTAACTGATGACAACAGAAAAGTAACAGTCGTGGCAGAAACACAACCGTATTCTTTTCACCCGGACAGATTCACTGGCTGGTGTCAGGTTCTGAGTGGAGAGAAGCTGACCGGACGCTGTTACTGGGAGCTGGAGTGGAGAGGAGTAGTTCGTATAGCAGTGTCATACAGGAGCATCGAAGGGGAAGGAAACGCACCTGAATGTCCGTTTGGAGCAAATAAAGAATCATGGGCCTTGGGTTGTGACTCAACGTACAGCTTTTACTACAACAGTACAGTACCAGAGTGTTTGGTTCCTGTGTCCTCCTCCAGAGTGGGAGTGTACCTGGATCACAAAGCAGGTGTTCTGTCCTTTTTCAGCATTACTGACACCATGACTCTCATACGCAGAGTGCAGACAAAATTCACTCAACCTCTCTATGCAGGAGTTGGGTTTTATTTTTCTTATGGAGAAACAGTTGAATTCTGTGAACTTAATTAGACTGGAATTATACAGAGCCAATATTTTTATGTATCCATTGTTGTGATCATCGTTACGATTTGTAAAAAAAACAAAACAATGCTGAGTACTAAGATAATTTCCTGATAAACATATGTAAATCAGATTAGAGGACATGACATTAAGGTGTCTTAATCATGATGACAATGTAAAACTGATGTTACCCTTGAATTTAAAAAAATAGTGTTTGTTATATTTGGTATATATTTTTACATGAGAAAATATTGCATATTCTGTTATTAAGATGTTGTTGCCCCGAGTTACTCACTAGATCTGATGGTGTCAGGCTTTTTAACATAACGGGTTGTTAGAGTTTCAGACAAAAGGCTGCTGCATTGTGGCTTTGGTTCGTACTGAGCATGCTCTCAGCAGGCATGTGGGGGTTGGGCTCTAGTCATGTTTCAGTTTCGCTCATTTTTGTATTTGTCTTAAAATCAACTAACAAAATGGTGTGTTTTTACCACTCTTGATTAAATTCCCAGATGATGAACAGCAGTGTGTGGCTGCTGAGGAGGGAAATTGAACATATGGTTTGTGTCACTTCCCTCATGTGGTCGCTAGGAGAGATTATGCTCTCAGTAAACTGAAGGCCTGGAAGGGGAGGGGTTTTGGAACAAAAAAATCTTTGGTTTTGTGTGGGTCATGTGGGCCAGTGGCGCAATGGATAACGCGTCTGACTACGGATCAGAAGATTCTAGGTTCGACTCCTGGCTGGCTCGAAACTTATGTTCAAAACGTTTTTGTCAAACTTTATGTCAGCAAAAAAAAGAAAACCACCTGACTTACTGTGTAGATAAGACGGTACTTATGCCTTGCCTGAATGGATAATAAAGAGATAGATATCCATGTTACATGTTTGTTTCTTCTAAAAGTGTATTCTTTTACTCCTGGTACTAAAGAGATAGATATCCATGTTACATGTTTTTTTTTCTTCTAAAAACGTATTATTTTACTCCTGGTACTTAATGATCAAATTAATTCTACTGTAGTAGTGAGTATTTATTTTTGCTTATTTGAAAGACTTTCAAATAAGAATTTAGAATCCACATGAAATCACTCAGTAATGGCTTCCATTACAGTTTAAACCAAAGCAAGACAAAAAGTGTTCGTCCAATCTAAGCACACTTTGCTTTTAGATTTATTATAGTTACAAACACCTGTATATTATGTTTTTGGTATAAATTAAACTGACTGCACCGTGCAATGCATTCTGGTTGGCTTCAAAATGTTACATTCAATAATGAAATGAAATGAAAATTTCTTCTGTTCGTTTTCTTCTTTACATCTTAATGATTTTTTTTTTTAACACAGCGTGAACTTCATTCTAAAAATACTACAATGAGATGTGAACAAAGATTAACAACATGTGTTAAATAGTGTTTTGATGTTAGCTAGAGCAACAGTAGTGTGATACGTGGTTAATGATAAACTTCTATTCATTCCCAGCAGGTTGTTTTTGTCTTACCATCATAAATAATACAGCCTTGGGCTGACAGTTTGGTAATTCATTTGTAAGATATTATGCCTAAGAACTTTCACCTTCACCCACATTGTTTAGTCTTAATATTTTATCTTTTTTTCACCTCCATTTAGATTCTTTTCTCAGCAGACGATGAAATGGATGAGTCAGATGAAGAAGATGTGCGAAGATTAACCGGGGCAAAGACAGTGAAGAAGAAGAAGCTTCGCATGGGTATCCCTGTGTGACGTGTGGACCGAGATGAACTTTTGTTTTCCTGCAGCTCCCACACAGGTTCACTCACTGTTCATCTTCATGAACTGGAACAGATTGTGAACAAGCTAAACTTTTGGAACAGGGGATGATCACTGATGGAAGTTATCGGATTCTCTTGATTAACCGTTGATTCGTCGGCACTCCTACAAAAACAACTGTGATGCAAGTGTACACAGTGGAAGACAAATCAGCTCTCTTTTAATAACTGTAGCTTAAAAAAAAGACAGTGGGGGTAAAAAGTACCAGGAACCGTTTCAAGTAAACTGTTTCAAAGCCTCTTAGAATGGTCTGATATGTCTACCTCTGGAGCAGGTCCTGAAAACACAACGGTGGTATTTCCATTTAGACTCCAGTCCCTGCTGAGGAAACGCACATAGTTTTTGGTACAGTTGGGTTCCTGGTACAGTACTAGTAGTGGAAAAAAGACAACACTGGTTTAATACTGTTTGAACTGGTCAGTTCAATACATTTGATACGCTTAATAGTCCTTTAAACTTATTGTATTTCTGAAGTAGATTCCATGTTAACTGTGCGTTTGTTTTCTCACGTTGACAAACCAATGTGTGTTCCTGTGTACGCTTGTACTTCTATCTTGGATTTCCTCTTCTGCTTATACTTGTACTACTGTGATAATTCTATCCCGAGTTTCACCAGGACTGATTGATTGAATTAATCCCATCAGCACACAGGTGAAAAGGACATACGTTTAACAGTATATATGTAAAAAAAATTACCAGTAATGTATTAGTTCTGAACTACCATCTTATTTTCTAAAACCCCACCATGTGGCTTCAACTAGAAATTGCCTTCGTCATTAAAACTCCGTGAGGAGGAGGTAGCAGTGCAAATGTTCTTTTTCGATCTGTGTGGAGAACCACTTCTCACTTTTAAGTTAATGTTTAAGGTCTGGTTTTTCTGTGTGGAGAACCACTTCTCACTTTTGGTCAAAGTTAATGTTTAAGGCCTGGTTTGGAAACAAGCACAGCTTTTTTTATGAATTCTTAAATTATAGCATCAAAAAAAGAGTCGATACAGACCAAATGTCTGTTACTGGCAGCTGTAAGGTGAACCATAGGGATAGAAATACAGTTTTAGGCAGATATATACAGACTATATGCCACTTATCATTCAATGTTCGCAGTCAAGCTGGGGCATTTGGGGGTATTTAATGAATGAATTTGCCAGGATAATTACCCCCTGCCCCAGCTGAAGAAGTACAGAGTGAGTGAGTGAGACGACTTGAGGTTTATGCATGGCTTGGCCCCAGTCCTAATTTGGTCATTTTGTTAAAATCATCAAATTATTGTGGTTGAACATGGGCTTATATTTCTCTACATTTTTATACTTAACAAAGGCTGCAAA